GAGAGTGCTCAATGTCAGAGACAGAGCTTAGTACATAGCAGACTCAGCGGAGGACGTTCAGGTTGGTTGTAACTCTGAGTTTCATGCCGCTAGGCAATCATCAGACAACTGATACTCTGGTCTACCCAACAGTATGCTTATAAAGGCCACAAGCATAAACAAATTTAGCGCTAAATCTGGTGTGAGGTATGGGGAGAAAGCTGGCGCGGGCCAAGGCGCGACAGTGGAAGTGCCAGGAGGGTGGCGGGCAACAGGCAGGTGTGAGCATGAAAGCGCGGAAAGAGGCGATGGGGAGGCAGTGTACAGCAGATGTGTGGGGGGTGCCAGGAGGGTGGCGGGCAGTGGCCCAATGAGATCACTACAAGTAGGGAGTCGCAGAATCTACCAGCAAGATTTACATCGGCCTATCAGAGACACCTTTCAAAGCCCGTCACGCCAACCACCTGACCTCCATGCGTCATGAAAAATACAAAAACAGCACTGAGCTCGCAAAACACGTATGGGAGCTGAAGAGCGAGGGAAAGCCGTTGACCATCACATGGAAGGTGCGGGAGAAGAGCCGATCATACAGATGTGAGTCAAAAAAATGCAATCTTTGTACCGCGGAAAAATTCCACATCCTGACTACACCCAAGAAGCTCCTACTCAACAAGCGGTCTGAGATGGTCTCGAAATGCAGGCATGAGAATAAGTTCCGCCTCGCAAATTTCACACCTATCACATGAACTGACCAAGTACTGTACTGCACTTTGCCTGAGCACCCATTATTATTAATAACACAATCCCTTGGCCTGTTGTTGGCGATGCCACTCTGCTCACGCCTGCCCGTCACCAAACGACTCCCTACTTGTAGTGATCTCATTGGGCCACTGCCCGCCACCCTCCTGGCACCCCCCACACATCTGCTGTACACTGCCTCCCCATCGCCTCTTTCCGCGCTTTCATGCTCACACCTGCCTGTTGCCCGCCACCCTCCTGGCACTTCCACTGTCGCGCCTTGGCCCGCGCCAGCTTTCTCCCCATACCTCACACCAGATTTAGCGCTAAATTTGTTTATGCTTGTGGCCTTTATAAGCATACTGTTGGGTAGACCAGAGTATCAGTTGTCTGATGATTGCCTAGCGGCATGAAACTCAGAGTTACAACCAACCTGAACGTCCTCCGCTGAGTCTGCTATGTATCTGTAATACATAATGAGACTTCGGGTACAGTCAGACCTCGCTTAGCCGCACACATTCGTTTTCCACAAAAAATATCCGGATAGGCGAGGGAACCGGATAATCGAACACACAGCATGATACTGTATCATTGTAATTTGTATGTACAATGTATGCATGACATACATGTAGATCTGTAAGAAAAGGGTTTGCTCCCCACACCGGAGCTCGCGCTATTCCGCCGACTTTACTTGACACTTGACTGACTCACGACTGCCATCCAGAGCACACGAGAAGCCCATCGAACCTTCGACTCGGCAAACCTGCAAGGAAGCACCACTCCCTGCTCAATACACAGTGTTTCGGAGAATTCACCCCTCATCAGTTGAGCTTGAGTAGGCTGAGGAAGATTGTGCCTGAAGATACATGTAGATCTACGCTGTAAATCGGTAACCGGCGATTTCCTCCTGATGGCGACGGATCCTGAAAAGAGGACCGGAGAAGCAAGGTCTGACTGTGTTATAACGACACTTCACGAATAAGGACACTTTTCTGATGCCCCGCGGAGTGTTGTTATAACTTATACACGAGACATGTACGCAAAGTAGTTAGTTGACTGTGCAGGACTGGAGAGTTCGGCCTTCTGGCCAAAACGGCAAAAGGAGCAGCGCCGCGTTCGTGCAGTCTACTCAGTGTGTGCGATGCTATGGCCGTATGGGCCGCATTGCCATGATTACCATGATTACGCCCGGCGCTAACATGATACCACTAGTAATATTACAGGATCTAGGACAGGTACTCCAGCCACTCGACCTCAGGCAGCAATCGAATGAGGAAGATCCATTCACAATCGAAGAAGTACGGTCTGCAATTATCAAGCAGAAGTCTGGTGGTGCTGTCGGTCCTGATGGTATCAGTGCTGATGCTTTGAAGTCAGCTAAAAACCTTTTCGCACCCTGGCTGACGAATTTCTTCAACGCTGTTCAAGCTACAGAGTACTGTCCTGACGACATGCGCTGCGGCCTCATCGTTCCCATCTACAAAGCCGGCAAGCCTCTAGGACATCCAAAAAGCTACCGCCCCGTTATGCTCCTTTCCGTCGTCCGTAAGATCTTGACGTCAATACTCACTCGACGACACACACTCCATGTGCAGTCATACTCATAATTATTGTAGCAGAGAGCCAAGCTGGTTTCCGCCCTGGCAGATCGACCACGGATGGTGTCTTTTAGTAAGTTTTACGCCAGGACGATGTGTGAGCGCGCACTACTTGGCGACTGGTCATATTCATCGGCACTATTGGACTTCAGCGGTGCGTTTGACACTGTCATTCGTCAGGTTGCTCTGGAGAGGTTAGCCACTGCTGGCGCACCAACGTCCACCACTGCAGTCCTAGTATCAAACACAACAGCCCGCACGAAGCTTGGTAAACAACTAAGCAAACCATTTCCAACAAACATCGGCGTCGTCCAGGGTGACCCAATGTCACCAATAATGTTTATAACTTACGCCGAAGGTTCCATGCGTAAGATCCGAGAGCAAGCTCTACCCGCGTCAGACCTACCAGCAACTTTCACACAATACGCAGACGACACCACTGCCCATCAGAACGAGCGATCATCTGTGGAAGAAACCATCCGTGTGTGTGAACCCGTTTTCTCGGATGACAATCTGAAGCTGAACGTGGCAAAAACTCAATATTTCACTGTGACCAAGGAAGATGATTCCTGGAAATCGGTGAAGCTGCTGGGGAGTATGCTAGGCACAGCAGAAGACATAGCAGCCAGAGCGTCTGCTGCAAATCGGGCATTTGCAGGCATTCCATGGAAACGCCACAACCTGAATTCCAGGCTGTGTATGTTTTCCTGCCTGATATTGCCTGTCTTGCTGTATAATTGTGCGCTTTGGACCTTATCGCAAACATTAACCGACGTCGTCAATGTGTGGCACTGGAAGAAACTACGTACCATCATTGGTATCACGTACCCACAACGAATCTCGAACACAGCGCTGTATGCCAGAACCGAGCAGACCCCACTATCCCAAGTCTGCAGGCAACGGAGACTGCTGTGGTTCGGCCATGAAGTGAGGGAAGGCGAAGAATCGTCCTCTTTCCAAGCCCTCCTAATGTCGATCAACACAACAGACATACGACGACCCCGAGGACGACCACGTCTGAGATGGATCGACGTTGTCAAGAAAGACTTACAATGCATTAATCTGTCGCTTCTGGATGCTGTGCAATCTGCTTCTGATAGAGCTGCTTGGCTCGAAATTGTTAACAGATGCGTTGACCTCATGCAATGAGTGAAATGCGAACTGTCATTAGGCCACACTGAAGAAGGTCTGTGGTTCGACTCACCCGACCGACCGTACATTTTTCAGCCCGACCGTAACTTTTTTTCGGCGGGCTGTCGTGTGACTGACGTACGTGGACTGAACACGTCCACGTCTACAGTCCGTTTCAAAAAGATTTACATTCCTGGCGATCGCCCGCGGAGTTTGGCGTCTTACCGTATGAGCACTCGAGCGCTGCCTGGAAAAACTCACTGTGAACTCGAAGAAATATTCCGCGCGAAAGCAGGAAAAATGACAACTCACTCACGTTGACACAGTCATGTACGTCTGGTTTACAACAAACGAGTTCTTCCTCGTATCGATAATGGAGTCAGAGAGTATATGTCGAAACGAAAGTGTTGTAAATGTTGACGAGCGGCATGGGTCCGTTTTGTGACCAAAATAGTTTCTTTGAGCTGCGATGCAATTTACTCACCGTGTGACGAAAATGACATCGACACGGACACATTCCCAAGGCCATGACTTGGCAAAGCTATCCGTGTGACTTCAACGACATTTTGAGAAAAGCAGACGCTTGTGAACGCTGATAGAAGACGGCGTTGACTGCTATATTCAAATAAATTGGTGATCTTGAAAATTAATACTAAAATAAATCTCAAGACACTACAGCGCGATGACTTCCATTATAATTCACTCACACCATTGCAGTGTTGTGGGTGTGTTCACATGGCGTGAGCCAGTCAATTGTCAGTCAGTTCGGCAGGAAGCGCGAGCTCCAACAAGTCGTTTGGTGCAGCCATCTTCTTTGTCTTGTAGCAGCTTGATCACCAAAACAATGAAAAAAACGTTCGACTTGAGGATAGGTTGGGATTTGAACTCACAACTTCATGGTCAGCAGACAGCATTCATAACCACAAGGCCAAAAAGGAAAGGATAAATCGTGGGTTTTGATAACAAAATCGATACTGGCTTCCTGGGCAAATTGTAAACCATGGGAAAAGGCCGGAAACCTGGCCGAAATTCTAACTCCCTAACGGTTGGTCCAATTGTTCCGAAACCTTCACAGAACAATTTGCCGTGTCCTAACAAGCCATTCTATGTACTTTGTTGTCCAAATTTCCCTTATCTTCATACTTTTTAAGACCCAAACCTGATTGTAAATCTTTTTGAAACAGACTATAGTACTAGTAGTAGTCAGTATGCCTACAGTACTGTTAGTCTGTTCTACTTCTAGCCTGTCTTCTCCGAGTCCGGGCCATTTTTTTCTTTCTCTGATCTCAGTCAACACTGACTGTACTGGTCAGTGGTCAAGCACAGCTAGCTGTGCACATTACAAAAATACATTGTGCTGTCTGTAGTGTAGCTACTGACTGTAGTCTGTAGTGTAGATCTACAATGTAGGCTAGCCAGCTGCGTCATCATGGTCATAGTCTAGAACCTCTGAGCTGAGCTGAATGAATCAAAGACAAAAAAGGTAGCATGACATCCGCGATCGCGCGAGGATTAGGAACCCAAACTAAACGGCCAAGGACCAAAGACAAACTGACAATCATTCAGACGTTCTGAATGCTGAAACAGTCTGAGCGCCTAGCTCGTGCACGTCGCTGTGAGCGGTAGTCCGTTGTCGCTGTGAGTCGCTCCTCTGCAGCTAGCTTGTGTGATAGTCCGATTTTCAACGCGAGTGAGATTTTATACGTTTATTCTTATCACAGTAGCGGCTTGTAGTGTCAGATGAGGACGCATCACCGGCGACGAGCACGTACTACTGTACTGGCAAGTCGGTTTTAAAAATAATGCGAGCCGTGGCCGGCAAGAGATGGTGATTGTAATGTGGCGATGGACCCAGCAGAAACATTAGCCTGATTCTGAGTGCCATGATGTCCTGAAGATGAAACTTGTGAGGGAGATAAAGTTTGACGGACGCAAGTGGCTGCAGCCCACCGAATCGTGGTGCACGTCAGAGGCAGGGAAGTCACGGGCGGATGCGCAGCTGGCAGCTAACGGTAGGAACAGGACGACAGCGAGCTGCTTTGCACGCTGCCCGCGAGCCTTCAACGCTAACACATGCAAAGCCAGACGGAGCGCAACAAGGAGCAGGAGTAAATCTGGCAGCACTGGAAACGGAGGCAGCATCAGCTGCATCAGTTCTGCCAATATTGGCAATAATAATATACCCAATGTCACTGCTATCTCCAGCAATAACACCAGCACTCGCAGCAGCAGCAATAACTCCAGCAGCAATACATGTAATACCAGCAGTAGCAGCAACAACGGCAACAGTACATGTTATGGCAGCCTCGGCAGAACGAGCAGTAGCGCCATCAGCACCAGGAACAGCAGCAGCGACGTCCACAGCATCAGCAGAGACGTCAGCTACACTAGGAGAAGATTGGCTAGTATTTGCCGTAACCACAGCAACAGCGGCAAGTATTCCGCTGCCAGTACCAGTGTCAGTAATCAGTGTGGCTTGCTCAGGCCCGTGTGGGGTGCTGCGTGGACAGGTTTGCAAGCAGCACGCGCACATCAGCCGTCTCGCGCATGCCTGCGTGGTCGTGCAACACCTCAGGGCACCCGCTGTGCCGACATACTGACACTGCTCGTGCTGGTGTTGCACGGTGTTGCGTGTGCACACGGTCAAGCACGTTCCGATGAGCAGGCGATAACGACGCCCACTGGCGACCCGTTCCCCAGACCGATAAATAGATATGGTGAGTGTATAAGGTCCTAACGGTTACACACACACATACACACGTGCCCGCCCACGCGCGCCCACACACACACACACATATACATGTACACGTACACTTCGTAGCTAAGCTTCACTGCATGTGAACGCATCCTGCATCGGTGTTTTTTTTCTGTCTTGTCTCTCAAACATGGATGCGGTGAATGGGATTTTCGGTCTTTGACCACATTCTGGTGCGCTGATCTACTCACCTCGCACCGCTTTAGGAGCTGCATCTGCGCCTTGATCCTTTAAAGGTGGTGGCGTTCCTACGGGTGCGGAAAACTCGGCTTCTATATAGATAAACCGAGTCTCACGCGAACCGTGAAAAAAATTGTCTCTCATTTCGTGTTTTCAATTAACGGAGTTTCACTGCACATCAATGCATCGTGCATCATCATCGTGCGTCTGTGTTCTGTCTCATTTCGTGTTGTATGCGACGACGTACGTGTATGTGTGCAGGAGAGGATCATATGTTTGGCATCATGCTGGGTCTGATCGTGGCCGTAGGTCTGCTGGTGGTGATCGGCGTCGCTCTCTTCGCCCAGTGCTGCACCGATGACGGGCGGCGACGCGAGCGCCAGCGACGACGCTGGGCGGCCGCCGTCGCCAGGGGCAACGGAGACGACGCGGAGATGCCGCCGCCGCCCGAGTTCCACCTGGTGTCGCCGCGCATGAGGCGCCGCTTTCGTCGAGCGCTGGTGCGCTGGCGACGACGACGACGACAGCGACGTCACTGGTGGCTGCCAGTGTCCGCGGGGCACTCCTTGCACGGCGAGAATGGAGCACCCGGTGGTGCCGCGGGTGTTGACGGTAATGCCGATGATGACAACTGCGATGACTCCAGCAGCATGGGTTCTTCCTTGTCGTCCGATAGCGATCATGACGGTGGTGACTCCGCTGCCATGGCGAGCGCTTCGGCCGTTTCCGCGCACGACCGCCGGCTGCTTGGCAGCTCACGCATCCGCTCGCCCGCCGCACCGGCCGTGCCACCAGCGTATTCCAGTATGCGTGTTGCTACTGCCTCTAGTGATGTGTTGAACACTTCTGCAGCACTACAGGAAGAGACGAGCTTCAGCTCGCCGGCAAGTGTTTCTCTCGGTGTCGCTGCAACAGCGCGTGCGGACTTAAGAGATAGTGAGCTTGTGCGTCACGATGCCAGAGCAGAGGCGGCGCCCGATCCCGCTGCACCCGGTGGTGGCCGCCTGGATCGGTTTTTCGACGGTGACCTCGGCGATGATGGCGCTCGGTCCCAGCGCCGCTCGAGTGCGTCATCCGACGCGGCACCCTCGGCCAGCGATGTTGTCAGGATTCAGAGATCACTGGGTGCGTGCAGAACGACTCGAGATAGCTAGCATTGTACTGACGAGCGTGTTCTTTTCCGTTAACCTCATTAGCCCATTGCGCAATGACGCAATCTGTACCGCAAACACTCCACACAGCCACCTGGGCAGGGTCGTCTGGGGTGTTGAACAGTGCATCCCTGATCGCAGCCTTCTCACGTCATGCATTCATTACTCAATACTCATGCATTCCATATTTGGCAATGTGCATTGGGCTTATTGCACCACAAGTCACATGATGTTGGCCATAGTCCTTGAAGTTTTGTCACGTGACGTTGGTCATAGTTCTTGGCATATTCGGTTGCACTTGAAATCTATCAGATGACGTATTTCACTTTCATTCCACTCGGGCAGTTTGTCACGAAGTACATGTAATTCAAGACACAGTAAATCCATCATCATGACTTAATTTGGACAAATTGAAATTCATCACAAGTCATGACATATTAATTTATCTCAATAGTTCATATAATTATACCACATGAAGAAATCATTATGATCATGACGTAATTCATAGCACTTGAAAATCATGACGTGACGTACATGTGATTCGTTGCACTAGAACATATTCATTCAGTTCTTGATATTGTGCTCTTGTAGCGTTATACTGTCAACTACTTCTAAAACAAGAACCAGGTCTGCGGACCTGGTGAGAAGGCAGAAATGCCTGTTCACTTGATGAAGTAAAATAAAAATAAAAAAGTAGACAAACAAACAAAATGGAGAAAGGAATGGGCAGGTTGAACCTGCTGAACGAGGCGTAACACTCATGCATGCATACCTGTAAGAGTATAACAGTTAATAACCCCCAAGAGTGCCTGTGGCCCAGTGTGGGGTTATGTACTCTTGGTACCTGCCAACTACCACGATTTGGCCTGGACCATCCCCATATCCAGGACCAGGGTAATAATCGGCACCCAAAACTTGGCTACATGCATTTGCTGCATGCCTCATCAGCTCACAGCTACATTTGCTTCGTATACATGTTCATGCCTAGGTAGTAGGTACAGTATGTCATTGTCCAGGTCTCAGGTTTGCAAAGGTAACTGATTTGGCAGCTACATGTACATGACTGATTGTACTAACTGTTAGTACGTAACATGTACAGTAAAACCTGTCAAGGCGACCACTCGGATAAGGCGACCACCTGTCCCAGAAGGCCACTGGAATCAGGACCAAGGGATGCTATTTCCAGTCAAATGACCCTGGATTAGGCCTTGGCGGATAATGCCGGCAGAAAAATTAGCAGAATTCGGTACTTTTTCTGGTAAGTTTCATGCATGTTTGGTATGTGGATAAAGAAATGGAGCAGAATTCGAGGAATTGCCCGCCATAAGGTTTGTATGGTTCTGCCAATTTCGGTGCAAAAAAAGCAGAATCTGCCACCTTTTCGAGCATTATCCGCCAAGGCCTACCCTGGATAAGGAGACCACCTGGTAACAGAGACCAGATTTTGAACGTCCCTTGAGCAGTCGTCTTAGACAGGTTTCACTGTACATGTACATGTATGCTGCGAGTTTCACGACACAACCATCATTATCCGGCGAGTAACAATGAGTCTTAGTGACCTTCCACCCCCCCCCCCCCCCTTGACCCAACTGCAGCGAGCAGTTTTCGTTTATAACGAACCAAATCTTGTAAGGCCACATGTAAACCGAGTACATGTAGTTGCTGCTTGTAACGACACGGTTATGTTGTAGTGTGAGTGCATTTCTGTTATAACGAACCTCGGAATTCACCCTTCATCGGTTGAGCTTGGGTAGGCTGAGGAAGATTGCGCCTGAAGAGCATCACGTTTTATTTAGAGCAAAGAATAAAAATGAAGGTCGCAGACATCACCAGTTCACCACACAACTACTAGTAAGTTACTAGTTCGGAATGTAGAATAAATGTAGAATAAATGGAGAATAAATGGAGAATAAAATGGAGAATAAAATGTAGAATAAATGTAGAATAAATGTAGAATACGTGCGGTGATGTCTGAGCTCGAGGCCTTCATTGTATTCATAGCACTAATAAAAGTAATGTCTCCCCGATCCCGAACATTGTTAGCATACAATGTATTGCTAGGATAGGTTTTGTTTGTCTATTTGGGTATTAATTTTGGTTGTGCTAGTTCATAATATTATTGACCTTACGTAGTAGACTGGAACCGGGCCCAATATGAAGAAGACGAATTATTATTATTTATTCACAATCACGTGGCACTAGCCAATGAAATGGTGATGTGGGCGATAGCCAGCCATGGCGGTAATACAGCTAGAGGGGGGAAAGAAAAAGAATGAAAGGGGAACTGAAAAGCAAAAGAAGCTAGGGCAGGGCTGGATATCAACTAGTATGTTGCATTCTGCAGTAGCTGTGTGAATGTATTGTAACATTGGCAGGATTTTAGATGTTGTGGGAGGAGAGACCAATGGCGGTAAGCAAGGAAGAGAGGAGATGTTTGCATAGAGGCAGACCGCGCAATAGGGAAGCGGAGAGAGTTTCTGGTGTGCATGTCTTGAGATTGAGCAAACCAGCTTAGGCAGGAGAGAGCATGAAGAGGAGCAATGCCCAGCTTAATTTTATGAATTGTCTGGCATGCCAAAAAACGCACGCGGACCGAGAGCGGCACAGCAGAAGCAAGGCGGTATAAGTCTGCGCTTGGAGTCAGGCGAGGAAGCCGAAATAATATTTTCAAAAGACGCCTATGCATAACTTCGAGTCGAGCAATCAGTGTTTTAGAAATGCCAGCCCAAATTATGCAGCAGTAATCAAAAATAGGCAGAATGTAAGATGTGTAGATAACATGGCGACAGTCGGTGTGCAGGTGGGTGATGTGTGATGAGAGAAATCCCATTACTGAGCTAACACGGCTGTCTAAATTTTCGATCTGGGATTTCCAGGTTAAGTGTTGGTCAATAATGACGCCAAGATGCTTGTGTTTTTCAACGATGCAGAGCGGGGTTGTGGTGCCTGGAAAGGTGAAGGGATTGGTTACTAATGAAGATACGTCACAGGAACAACTGGGGGGATACACATTACAGCAGTTTTCGAAGAGTTGGGTTGCAATTTCCATTTTTCCATCCAATGAATAACGCCATCTATGTTGGACTGTAACTTGGCACTAGCCTCGGGGAGAGTGGGTGCTGTCACAAGTAGTGCTGTATCATCAGCATATAGTGATGTGTGATCCATTTCTGCCAGATCGTTTACATACATAAGGAAGAGGAGAGGCCCCAGGATTGATCCCTGAGGAACTCCAGACCGTACATGCCCTTTGGCAGACAGAGCAGAGCCGACACGCACCCTTTGCTGTCTGCCCGTCAGGTAAGTACTGAGCCACGTGAAGCAAGTACCATGGATTCCATGGCGCGACAGCTTGTATAGGAGCCCGCGTGTCCATACGGTGTCGAAGGCCTTGCTTAGATCAAAGAAACATAGCATGCTGTAATGGCCGTTCTCACGAACAGAAGACATCGATTGAACAAGTCTGAGAAGCTGCCAGGACGTAGAGTCGCCTTTTCGGAATCCAGACTGGGACGGATGTAGAACAGGAGACAGGTAAGTGTATAAGTGGTTGTACATAATACGTTCACACAGCTTGGAGATTGTTGACAATAACGAGATCGGGCGGTAATTCGATGCATCGAGCTTACTTCCCTTGTTCTTAAAGACGGAGTTACAATTGCGTGTTTCCAAATAGCAGGGAAAGCACCAGTTGCAAAAGTGAGGTTAAAGATGAGGCTGAGAGGGTATGCAATACTGGAACAAAATAGTTTCAGGAGTTCATGAGAAATACCGTCCGCTCCCGCAGCCTTTCGGGTCTTAAGGTTGCGGATTTGCTTTGCCACAGCAAAAGGCGAGGTGGTGACATCTTGCAACGTAGGTGTAGTTCTTCCACGTGATGGGGCGTCGGGTGGCTTGAAGTCTGGCACATTCCATGAAGGATCATCTTGTGTTCCAAAACCAATAAACTGTTCGTTCAAAGCATCTGCCACATCCACAGGGTCAGAATATAGAGTACCAGCGACTGAGAGCTGAGTTACAGTCGTTCTGCTGTTGCCTTGGGGAGATCGAAGCTTCCGGACAAACTGGAATAAACTTGGTGATGCGGGTCTTGCCGTGGATGCACTTAGGGATGAGATGCACAGTCGATGGGCAGTTCGAGACATATTGCGAGTAACGTTTCGCTCTCGTCTGTAAATAGCGAAGTTGTCAGCCGAGGGAAACTTTCGGTAAACACTATACGAATCTCGTTTTTTCTTTATTTGATGTCGGAGGGTACTGGTCAGCCAGGGGGGGTTCATATGGATACGCTTGACAGCCGGCGGCTTCTGCCTGGGCAGAAATCTTGCACAGATGTTATGGAAGATAGAGTAAAAGTTGTCCACAGATATGTCAGGATCGCGCCTCTCCAGGCTCAAAGCTGCTGGCCAATGTATGTGGGACATGGCAGTATTCATACTCGCGACAGTGTTGCTGTCTAGAGAATCCAAAGAAAATACACTAAAATCAGGGACATCCAGGGGAGTCGAACGGGCATCACGAGAACGGTATGTGGGCATTTCTGGGCAGGGTACAGTACGGATGTGGCCAACCACGATAGAATGATCGGATTGACCAAGTGGTGCTGTAGCACGGAGGCAGGATATAGAGTCCGGTATATCAGTGACAACTAGGTCGAGAGCTGCCCCCATGCCAGACAATGACTCATGTGTTGGAAAATTTACGAGCTGCGTGAGAGAGAACATGCCGAATAGACTGTGAAGCTGGCGACCAGCGGCATCCGTGGTAGTTCCATGCCAATGACATGACTTAGCATTAAAGTCTCCCATCAACATGATAGATGTTGTTCGGTTCTTAAGAGTACTTAGACAGTGCTGGAGGAAATTGCAGAAGGTGTTGATACTTGATGGAGTAAGGGCTGGGGGTCGATATACTGCACCAATAACCAACTTCTTCACATGAGGCGCCTCTGGGAAATGTATGTTAGCAGATGACAGGGCTATTTCCACCCATGTGGCTTCCAGGAGAGGGATACTGAGGTCAGATCGATGGGTGACCTTTGGAAACATCCCAGACCGTACCATGATACAGACGCCGCCATATGCATGGGTGGCATCGGTAGCTGACCTGTTTTCATCTGGCGGACGATCTCGGCGAAAACAGTCATATCCAGGGACCGTGAAAGACGACTGTGGAGAGAGCCATGTTTCCGTTATGCAAACAATGAGGGGTTTAACTGTGGAACAAATGTGAGCCAGCTCGGCAGTCTTGTTCTTAATGGACCTGGCATTGATGCACATTATAGGCTGTGATCCTGCGGTTGGCTGTGAAAGTGGGTAAAAAGGCTGAGCTAATGGATTAAGTGTGCTGTTAGTAGTAATGTTTGGGGAACAGTGA